TGCCTGAGCATCGCGTCATGATCAGATCGGGCTCGCAACGCTTGATCTCGTGGCTGTCCCGGTCCACGACCCAACCGTCGGCAAAGAGGAAATACGTCCTGGTCTCCTCCACATCCAAGTTCAGGAGCTGCTTCATGAGTGCGGTGACCGCGGCGGTCCTTCCCTGGGATCGAGCAATCCAGTTGGGCAGGCGGTCCTCGTTGTTCAGTGTTCACGTCGTTTTTCCAGATCCCGTCAACGAGCTCGGTTTTGAGGAACACCGGCTCCATCTCCGCTTCGGTGTGAAGCATCCAGCGCCCAGCCTGCTGGGACGAGGTCGCCACTCTGACCGCCTTACCACTCTCGGGCACGGTCTGGTGAACCTCGGAGAGAAGGTACTCGCTCCCATCCACCGTCACCGGCTTATGCATAAGCAGCTCCGACAACAGCAGCTCGGGGCACTCCTTGCCGGACATCATGAACTCCCCGAAATGCACACGTCCAAGGCCGAGGAATCCTCCCCGGTCCCGCATTTAGGATCTTGTCGGGGGATCTGCACTCCTTGATCGCCATCTCCCGACATCCTCAGCCGCCTTCACGAGCCCGGCCTTCCATGGATCCGCCGTCACGGCCGCAGCTCCATCTGGATGCCTCACCACGACACCGTCGTGCTCGATCGAGACTACGATGCCCAAGTCGTCCTCTTGCAGCTTCTCGATGACCTTGTCGATCGCCTCACGCTCGAGCTGCTCGCACAGCGCCTCCATTCACGTGGCCTGCTCCGGGAAAGGCTTGCCTGTTCCGGAGCTTCTTGATCAGGGCGGGATGCTCCGCGGCCACTTTCTTGCGGAGCGTCTTCTGCTTTTCCAGGAAACCCTCTTGCCGCCGCGCAAGAGGCCGTTGAAGAGCCTCTCCACCAATCGCGGCCGGCGCCCATCTCGGCCAACCCTCGACCCAGCGCTAGGTCGGACTCCAGCGCGCGGCTGTGTCATGCCTTTGCTCACCTGACGCCCTGTAAAGCATGGCCCTCTTGAAGAGGATCGTAGTTGATGAGCTCAACCAGAATGAAACTGGCAAACTTCGCCACGGGGCCAGGGACCCTTGCCTGCAGCGTGCATCACGATCTTGCTTCAATGGTCACCAAGGAGGGAGCGGTGTGTGCGAGGGCGCTTGCGGCCACCGGCATCTCTGGCTCCGGCTCCCCACGGTCAAGCTTCAAGGCCTTGTCCGGGTTCATTTCGAAGGTGTTGTTGAGCGACTCCATCACGCCCAGACGCGTGCCGCGTGGCTGTGCTGAGCAGGCCCAGGTCTCGGCCCTTCTTGGCCTGCGTGCTCTGTCACCCTCATGAGCTGGCAGCTCCACCTTCTCCTTCTCAGTCCACATGCGGCCCACCGCCTCGGTTTGCACCAGTGGATCCTTCTCCATCTGCTCCTCTTCTTCGGGTTCATCGTAGAGCTCCTCCAGCTCACGCTCAAGCACATCCGCTCCTGATGCAGCCACTCGGCCCAGGAAGGCGTCCAACAGCTGACCCTTGGCATCGTCCTGATCGACTCCCGATCAAAGCTGCAGCGAAAGTTTCCGAGCAATCGCAGCCCTGCAGAGCCCGCATCTGGACCATCTCGTAGGGATTATCAGCTGTCCGAAGGTAGTCGTGCACAAACATCTTCACAGCGGGGCTCAGGCAGAAACACCATTCAGCATCCACGTAGGGGGGCCTGTCAAAGGATGCATCGTAGAGCTAGGGTGTTGCGATGATCGGCAAGCCTCCATCTTGGAGCTGTGCCCCGGCTGATCTCCGGCATTGGCTCATCTGCCTGGTCGAGGGGCTGCACGCCCAACTAACGCAAGTGCTGAAACTAGCCCAACCTGCTCCGCGATCTCCTGGAGCGGCTCCGCAGTATCCTGGACTGGCTCAGCCTGCAAGACCAGCTAAAATTTTAGCGCCGGACCTGGATCGGCTCCGCGACCTCCGGCATCGGCTCATTTGCCTGGTTGAGGGACNNACGCAAGTACCGAAACTAACCCAACCTGCTCCACGGTCTCTTGTTCTGTGGTCAGATCCTGAGGAGCTGGAGCCTGCCGACGACATGAGGGTTTCATATGTTACACATGCTATGCCGAGCGCCTCCCAGTCTGCGCGCCCCGTCATAGCGGGATCGGAACTCAAGCTTGCCATGACCTGCCGAACACCAGGCGTT